ATCGAGGCTTTATGATAAACACGGTGACACTAGTAGAGCAATTGAGTATATAAATAAAGCATTAGAAGTAATGCTAACTTCGCTTCTACCAGATCATCCTACCTTTGCTACAGTCTACAGGAACTTAGGTTTTTTCTTTTTTGAAAAAAATTGCGTGAAAACAACCTGATTGAGTATTTTTCGACGTTATATATTAAAGATGTTCGATTTACTCTATCGAGTATCAAGCCGTCCAAGAGAAGCCTTCAACTGAAAAAGAAATAATGGATAATTCAAGGAAAAATACTGCCCAATTATTTAGTAGCTATAATTCTCTTTGATGAACTACTCAAAGCGAATACGAACTCCTGGAGGCTGTGGTTTTTGGTCGAATTATTAACATTCATAACATGTTAAGTCAGGGATAAGTTAAGGAATTTTTACAGCGTCACCTATTTGTTTAACTGCACAGAGAAGTTGTAAGTTGTTTTTTAATGGTGTAGGTACGTTAACCAATAGAAAGATCGAGCAGAGAGCACATACATATATCTGTGTGATGAAAGAAGCTTCTCCTCAAGAATCAGTCGTTTCCTTTTTGGATTTTCTTTCAACAGTAAGCGTTGTTCTTTGGTTAAATTAGTTTTCGTGTAATTAGTATTAGATACACGTCGAAGTATCATTTTCTTGTTTAGTCGATCAAATGAGTCATCAGAGTCAAACGACAGTGGCTGCAACAGCAAAAGGTATACAAGACAGAAGAGGTTCGCTTTTGAGAAAAAATCGTTCATCGAACAGTGTGGATAGCACGTCATCAACCACTAGCAGTTCACGTGCAAAAGGTTCACATGCATTGGTTCAAACAAAAAACGGTTACCATGTAGTACCATTTGAATTATTTTCATCAGCAGTGAAAGCAGAACGTAAGAAATTGTTCAGGGTTAACAATGATGTCGCGTTGAAATTGAAAAAGGGTGACAAAGAGACACGCGGCAAAATTCTGGCTATTGGTAGGAGAAAAGTTTTTACTCTTCACTGTTGTGAATCATCGCCTTCAGCGTTTCAGGAGATGAAGAGACTTGTATAAGTCAAATGGAAGTTTTTATTAGTGAATTGACTGATAGTGTCACAGAAGTATCTGGTACACCGGAACGTGGTAAGAGAGTCAGAAATTGTAGAGTTTTAATCTCTAATATTGTTTCTTTTTTTTTACTCAAGTACGTTCAAATCGAAAACTGATCATTGATGAAACAGCTGGTACTGATGGAACAATTACACCACAACAAACGACGATGACGTCGATGCCATCATCATCAAATCAATCGTCGCTAGCCACAAGCTTAGTCGTTGCAACGACACCAAAATCAACGAAAACAATTGCAAGTACACAAGTTGATACAAGGTCAGCGTCAAACGGACGACGCAAACCAGGACCAAAAAAAGGAAGTTTTCGTTCGACGTCGTTAACTAAACAACGTTTAACAATAAAGAGTCAATCGTCGTTGAAAAACAGAAAACCATTAATTGTATCGTCAATTGTAAATCGAGAACGTGAGTATTTCTTCCCATCGTAGAAAGTGACTAACAATTATCCATTGCAGAAGATGACCTCGAGGATGCTGTGGATGAGAGTCCGTCTGATCGTGAACAAGCCAGCGATGAAGAAAATATGGACTATCATTCGTGGGATTTTGCATCAACCAGTACGAATACCGTAGTACCGGCTATGAAATACAATCAATTGGTCGTGGAAAATGCGCAGTTACGAACAAAAATTTTGGAAATGAAAAAAGATGATGCTCATTACAAAGCATCGTCATTTAGTAAGTGTTTATTTTTCCGTTGATGGAAATTGTAAAAATATAATAATGTAATAAAAAGCTGTAGTCAATAAAGATGAGAAAAAAGCTGAAGGGAATAAAGCTTTATATAGATTGAAAAAAAGTTTTATTTACTTGAGATTCTTGCTAGAGAGTTTGTTGAGGTAACCAGCAGAGGATACGGCCCACTCAAGGGTCAACAGTCCATGTGTGTGCTCACCCATGTCAGAAATCATCATTTATACTTGAAAAATAAAGATAAATTCGTCATTTATATTTAACAAATAAATATAAATAAATGAAAAAACATTTATCTTTGTTTTATAACAGTAAATGATCCATTTATCTCTATTTTAAAAATAAAGGTAGAAATAAAGAAATATAAATGAATCATTTTATTATTATTTATTATTATATATAAGCTTTTTTCTCATCTTTATTGACTACAGCTTTTTATTACATTGTTATATTTTTAGAATTTCCATCAACGGAAATACAACAACATTATATTGATATGGCAACTGTATTTACATCACCAGAACCAATGACAAATACCGTTTTTCTTCGCGTTCATTTTGACCAGCCGTTGTCGCTTTTCCAAACCAATTTAAACCATTCTAAAATCACAAATTCGTTTAAATTAATGTGGTAGGAAATTAACAACGATAAAGTCTGCAAAAATTAATTCAGATTAATTTTAAGTTGAAAATTGTTTTGAATTGATTTCTATCAGATTAGTGCAAATCGATTTATTACTAAATTGAGTTAAAGGAATTTGGAAAAACATTAATTCAAATTAATTTGAGTTTCAAATTAGTGTAGAGTTTTCGAATTAATGTACACTAATTCGAAGCTCAAAATTCGTGTATATTAATTTAATATGAGACTTTGTATAATGGGAGAAATTAATTTTTTCACGAAAAAATGAATCAGATTAATGCGCATTAATTTGAAGTATATTTTTCTATTTTTTTTTTCATTTATTTAAAGATTTAAATTGATGCGCATTAATTTTGCACGCCAAAAAGTTTTTTAAATTAATGTGAACGAATTTCCTTTCAAATTTGTTCAAATTCCTTTGAATCTCGAAATTAGTTTGCATTAATTCGAAAGTATTTAAAAGTTCCAATGGGTAGTGTAAGAAAGAGTAAAAACTAGAAGTATGTCGCGTTTTTCGCTAATCTGTTAATTTTTGGTCCATAAAAACAATCAGACCAAACAGAGATCGTAAAAATGAATCGGCCGTCTTGTAGTGAATTTTATGCTCTGTCAAAATATATATAAACTGAGATGCGACCTGACTTTTCAGTACACAAAAAAATTCATATTTTGTGAATCTGTATCCCAGTGATCATACTAAAATTTGATCTCCCATTTTTTAAGGGTACCCCTCCCCACTTTTTCGGCTTTCCGTAGAAATGCTGCGCAATAAAAACTGAAAGTCACTAAGACACCCTTAAATTTCGAATGGTTTTGCTAGTGAACGTTTTCGATTATGAAAAGATTTATTTCTGCACACGTTTTTCGAGTTAGTTCGTTCATCCCCAAACAGGTCACTCGATAGTCTATTGCTGAGCACGTTTTCCTGTTGTAAAGTAGAACTCTGTAGGACGGTTTGTTTTGTGTCGTATATCATGCAAACCGTCTTTATAACCCCTCTTCAGGTAGTTTAGTTAGTATCTAGTTCGATTTGGAGGCGAGTTTGTGTAGATCAGAATTTCAGTAAATCACTTAGTTCGACTGTGAGAAAAAAACGATATCAGCTTTGTAATTGTCACTATCGGGAACGTACACAAAAATGTATCTTGTGTAAGAAAACGCTTTGAGCAGTTTTGTCATAAATGCTTTTAGCTTAACTCTTTATGACTATTGTTCAGCAAGGGCAGAATTCGTGCATTTCAGAGAAATTTCATGTTTTATTTATGAAATATACGTAAATTTCTTTAGAATTTTACATAGCAAATAGAGCAGACGCCTGAGTGTCGAGATGTGTGGGGTGGTTGAGCTCAGGTAGAATGCTCGAACATTTCAAGCGTTGCAACGTAGAATGCTATGGAAACTTCCCAAATGTAGGATTTCTGCCACCCTTCTGTTGTCGCCATCGTACGTCTCTAGAACATGGCTTCTTATGTAGTATATTTCATGGTATGAGCTTCGATCGAACGTCATCTGTTCATATTCCATGAATCTCTCATACGAAATAAACCGATCTTATTTCATTATGTACCACTTTTTATCCTCTTCTTATACTTTTTACTTCTTTTTTTTTTACTTCTTGCACTTTTTTTCGTAATGCCGTCGGTTACCGACCGGTCTATAGATTACCGCTGGTTAACCGTACCGTTCGGTATAACGATCGATTTAGCGATTTTTTCTTCTACCGGCGATTACCGCACGGTAGTTTTCAGACCGTGGTGCAAGAAAAAACCGTTGGTAAACCGTTTTGACACAATCACCTTTTTGTTTTGCAGTTGGCAGTCTATATAAGAAACGCAGAAAAGTCAAAAAACTTTGATTATTTTTCAGATTAAACTTTCTCTTTCATATCAGAGACTCGTCGAAGTTTGCACTTTGACTTGAGTCAAATTTTTCCCGTTCGGAAACCTCATTGCGCTGCATGCGCACTGCAAAAAAAAGAAAGCTGAGAGCTAGATTCGAACTCCTGTACTGTTTGCTCACACTGATAAAATACTAGTTGATACCGCCGGTACAACCTACCGGTATACCGTGCAGTAATGTCACATGTCCATTAGGTTAACCTCCCATTATACTCGGCGGTGACCGCTGCGATAACCGGTGGTATTTTAGCGGTTCTGATGACATGGGGAACCGTATAGTATGCTGCAGTCATTCTTTTCAGCCCGTGGAAAAATCAATTTGACTATAGCTTTTATGCTTATATGGGACCCTGCTATGTATACCAAACTATTATAGCCACATTTGACCTACTTTTTAACGTATTTGGAGCAGTAGTAGTCATTGTCTTAGGCAATCTTTTTTTGCTTTTTCGATGTTTGCACAAAAAAGTACAAATGAAACAAGCAAATATTTGGCTCAAAAATCGCAAGATGATCGTGCAACTTTTCTCTATTTCATTGATATTCTTCGCAGCATGGATACCTTATGTGGTTATTACATTTGTACGAACATTATGGTTGCAGGATTGGCTAACGGATACTTATAGCGTATTTATTATATATTTACCTTATCTTAACACTCACATAACGTTTATGTGTCTTTTTGGTCTACCAGAAGTACAAAGAAAATTGAACATATTCCAGAAAAATAATGCAGTGCAGAGTATTCCGATGACATATACGACGACGCGTAGAACAACAGCTGTCTGATATAAATTTACCAAACAACATTTGCTGTAGTAAAGTGTGCCGTGAAGTTTTCAAGAGCATAAAGTAAGGTGATCATAGTGCAAAGACTTTATATTGCATTAAACAGTCTTCTTAGTGACTGCCTTCTATAGAATTAGCTGAATGGTAGCATTGGCGGGCCGGAAGAAAAATGGACCGTATCTTGTTATAGTAAGGTGTCTGCAATTCAAAGCCCGAGCACAATATTCTTTTAAGCTGTTCCACTTCTTGCGATTGTCGTATATTGATGTCTCAAAACTTTTGAATACCAGATAAATTCTGGATCAAATGGTTTGGCTACCAGTATATATACTGTTTTCCACAACTGACAGAGTGATAAAAGACTCCATGAGTCGCATCCCTGGCAGTTTAAAATCAGCAGAAAGTTTTGTGATCTAAAACACTTTATGAGACCGAGATCGGAACCGGGATTGGATATTTTTGAAGATAGTCGTCTTATATGAAGTATAAAAAATTCTAAGTTTCTGTAGCTTTTGGGCACTAGTGTTGCATGAAAGAACTCACACAAAATTCTAAAAGCCTTCAGTTACTAATGTCATCGCAATACTGCTATTTTCCTGGTTATTTTGAATTTCTGTTGTGGTTGCTAGTACACTTTATTCAAAGTTGAAATGTTTGTGGAAACAGCTAAAGCTACAAGTCTACGGGACCAGAATGGAGAGCAAAAACATTTGATCCGTGTATCCCGATCGGGATATAATCTATATTCCAATCAGGATATCGGAGAAAAGTTATATCCTGATCGTGATATTTTTCCAAAACATTTTGAAAAAAATCATTATGGCAAAAATCGTGACGTTATTGCAGAAAAGTGACTATGACATCAGACAGCGGACTGAAAACTGAGTCAGAATCCATGTTGCTCTGGTCTTGATTTAAAAGTCTACTATTTACGATTTTTTAAATTCCAGTGGGGATATACAAAACAGCCTGATCAGGATATTATCCCATTTGGAAAATGTGCATAAATAGTTTGATGTTTTTTTGAGTAGCTTGGAGTCCAGTTCGCAGTAATCTACGCGCTCCGTCTGCTCTATTTCTTTTCTATATTATGGATAATAAATACAAAAAGAAAACAACCAAAAGAAGCTAAGTTAACATATTTTTTAATGTATTTTGAACTACATAAACCGACCAAATCTGTGTTTTTTCTGCACTAAGGGCCAAGTTTAGACAATGTTAATCTCTAGTTGAGTAATGCTTTGTATTTTGTAAAAAGAATGTTTTCATAGATTTTTTGGTTGAATAGAAACCTGTTATTGTTACAGATATATAAAGGTATCGCTTTCCGTCCCGACTGATTGCTATTCCGATAATATATTTTGTCGCGATAATATATCCCATTCCGGATATGAAAATATATCCTGATCGGGCTATGATATGTATCCTCTTCGGAATATAGCGCGATCAGGATATATTTTTATATTCTAAATAAGAAATGGTATACTGGTGACAAATCAAAACACTCTTCACATATTTGTTCAATAGAAAAATTTAGTAAGAATTTCGATGATGTTTGACAACAGACATTTTGACATTCATAAGTTATATCCAGAAATTTGGTTTTGATGTTAAAAGCTTTTTGCGAATTTTAGAATTTTAGAAAGAATTTTGCGTAGATTTTAGTCATATATTCCTTTCGACATAAGTATAGATGTTAAGTATGATAAATTATTAATTAAGATGGAGAATAGTGGGAAGTAATAAGAAAGTAACTTGCGAGGTATTGAGATTTCCATTTTCCATTTTACGTGTTTGATCTCATCTTATCAAAAGTTTTTAATATATACAGTTTATTCCTTGTCAGTCTAAAAGATACATTTCTAGAATGTCACGTTTCAGAAACGTCTATATATAAATTCAAAACCTGGATAGAAGTTGAGGAAAAGCTTGAGTTTAAATTTTAGCTTAGTCAGAACTATATTGGTTGTGAGATCTCTCGCTCAGAGATCCAGCGACATCTATAGTCGCTTGGATATTTAAGGCATTTTGTACCACTGAGGAGGTCTAATTTCTTAGTGTACCATCTGAAAAATGAATTTCTTACAACATAAGAGAGTTCCAACTTACTTTTGTTTGAGACATTGCACCTTAAATACCCCACAGGATAGATGCCCCTACAGACATCGATTCGAAACTCAAATGTACTCGGAAGAGATCCTAGAGCCGCGCAACGTAATCGAACAAGCTGATTTCGAATATGTATTTTCAAAATTGCCTTTTCCACTAAGAAAAAGCATCAAAAAGTTAATTGTTTTCTCATGTC